ATCTGGTCCTGCTGCCTTGCCACTCTTCAAACTATTTAAGGCGTTGAGAATTTCCTGTCTGGTGATTTCCTCGGTACTGATGTTAAGGGGTTCCCCTGGCTCCAGGTCTGGTGGATCTTGAGGTGCTGGACCGTTTAGTACTTCCTGGAAGTGCTCTCTCCATCGTGCCAATTGTTCCTCAATTGACCTTAGAAGTTTACCATTTTTGCTCCTCACTGGCCTGTTGGTATTGGTTTTCCACCCACTCAGAGCTCTGGTTGTTGCATAGAGCGTCTTGAGATCTCCCTTACTGGCAGCTGTTTCGGCCTGCTCTGCCATTTCATTTATAAACAATCTCTTGTCATTTCTTAGTTTCCTTTTCACCTCTTTAGCCTTTTCGTTATATCGAGCGGCTGCTGCTTGTTTTTGCTGCCGTGTTTTTGCTTGATTTAGTTCGCTCTTTAGGCTTTTTCTTTCTTCCACCTTCTGCCATGTATCATCTGTGATCCAGGGCTTCCTGTTTGGCGCTCTGCCTCCTAGAGCCTCTTCGCAGGCTTCAATAGTGGCTTGCTTAAATACTTCCCAGGTGTGTTCAACTGAATCAAGATCTTTCTCTTCTGTCTGTAGAGCTTCAAACCGATTCTTTAGGGTGACCTGAAAATTTGTCCTGTTGTCTTGCGTCTTAAGTTTACTTACATCAAATCTTCTTCGTGGATCAATTTCATGTTGCCTCTTCTTTGCCTTTAGCTTCATCTTCAGTTTAGCAACAACCAGGTGGTGGTGGGATCCTATGTCTGCTCCTCGCTTTGCTCTCACATCCTGCAGTGAGGCCCTCCAACGACGCCTTATCGCGACATGATCAATCTGGTTTTCGGTATGATGATCTGGTGATATTCAGGTGGCTTTATGACACCTTCGGTGGGTGAAAAGTGTACCGCCGATAGTAAGCTCATTTGAGGCACAAAAGTCTGCGAAGAGTTCACCATTTTCATTCATTTCCCCTAGGCCATTGGTTCCCATCTCCATTTCCCTGCCTCTGTTGTCTTTGCCTACTTTGGCATTTAAATCACCCATGAGGATCAGCATGTCGCGCTTGGGTACCTTATCAACCACCGACTGAAGCTCTTCGTAGAAACGGTCTTTTTCTTCATTGTCTGCGTTGTTCGTAGGAGCGTAGCACATGATAATGGAGGTCTTTTGAAACCTGGATTCAAATCTAGCTTTAATTATTCGATCAGATACAGGTTCCCATTCCATCAGGCTTTTTGTTGCCTCCTTTGTCAATAGCAAGGCTACGCCTGCCTCTCGTGGGTCGTCCTCATTTTCTTTTCCCGAGTATAACAGTGTTTCTCCCGTCTGGAATTTTGTCTCTCCAAAGGTGTTCCATCTTGTTTCGCACAGGCCAAGCACTGTAAGATGATACTGTTGCATTTCTTTCACTGCCTGTGCACACTTCCCTGCTTCCCATAGTGTTCTGACGTTCCATGTTCCTATGAGGATAGGTTTCTTTTGCGACAGTAGTTTTGGGGCTGTGGATTTAGTTTTCCTCGGTTGAAGAAGGGGGGTCGGCTCTGTAGCTTCCTTACGGATTTGGCTGCATTGCGTCATACTTCTCCTAAGTGGAGCCCTGATTCTCCCGAGGACTGGATTTATATTTTCTATATAAATGATATAAATTTCATTTCGTTCGGGGGGGGGGGGGGGCGGTAAAAAATTTTCGGGGGGGGGGGGGCCCGAAGAGATGCCTGGAAGAAACTCTGAAGAGGATATTCTTATTAACAATGTGTACATTTGTTATTTTATACAACTGTATGTTTTTTTATGGGACGGTGTGGGTTAAGTGGTAGAGCGCTCGGCTGTTAACCCTAAGGTCTCGTGTTTGAATCTGGGTCCCAATCAGTATAACGTCCCTGAGTCTACCCAGCTCTGAAGGGTACCTAACATGAGGGATAGTAAAGGCGGCTGATCGCAAATTCCCTTGGATCGCTAGGTCATCAAAGCATTATTTTTTTTCTTTCATGCGTGCCGGTTGCAATATAATTAGCTCGACAGGCAAGGTTGTCATGAATTCCAATGGTCATTGTCTTTGGCTCAAATGAATCTTTTCTAGGATGTATTTTTGCGTGTTATAAACGTTCATATTGTTGTCAGTCTTCTGAAAGAAAACAATGCAAAACCTATTTGTGAAATGGAAAACTGATAAAAGCTTTGCAAAATCCGATGTCATAGCGTAGATAGATAGAATTAGACTAGACTAGTAGAGACTACTAAGGACGGTGTAAACTTGACGGTAGACGATTTGGTTCGAGAGTATGTGCGCGTGTTCAATAAAATATTTATAACGTGAGTCTGAAGCGAGCGTTACGCGACAATGTTGCCAATGACGTAGGACGCAGGAGTGAAGACAGTTGGGGGTTTTGCCATAGTAGAAAAAGGACGTGTTGTATATTTTTGTAGTGTAATTCTAGCTCGTTTAGTATTAGTATTTGATAATAAAGTTAATTTTATTTTATGATCGAAGTTTTATATCGCTAACTTAGAGTCGTCGGAAAATAAGAGTGTCCCCGTCCTCATCGCATGTTTGTATTTAGAGTGTTAGTTATAGGAGTAGTCATCATATAGATTCATATAGCAATATATACATTCCCCTTCCCCCCCCCCTTCCACCCCCCCCCACCCCCCACCCCATCACAATGGTTTCGTGTTATAAACGTTCATGTAGTTGTCCGTCTTTTGAAAGAAAATAATGCTAAAACCTATTTGTGAAATGGAAAACTGATAAAAAGCTTTGCAAAATCAAATAAACGAGAATAAAAGAAAATAGGATACTCTGAAATGGAAGGGTTAGATAAGTAAAAACAAGGTCTAAAACAAGTAAAAAAAACATGATTATAACTATTGAACGCATATCTACCCAGGTGCGTAGCAAGGGGGGGGGGCATATGTCCCCGGGCGCCGACCTTAGGGGGCGCCAAAATGGTTAGGAAAAACAAATTGAAAGTTTGAGGGGGATGCAAATCGAAAGTTTGAGGGAGGTGGGGGGTGCAAAACGAAAGTTTGAGGGGAGGGGGGTGCAAATCGAAAGTTTGAGAGGGGGGGGTTGCAAATCGAAAGTTTGTCCCCGGGCGCCGGGAAGGGTCGCTACGCCTCTGTATCTACAAGATCAGGCTTAGTTCATCCTCCCATATACAACACTTTTTCCCAAAGATATAACTTCTCCTACTATGATACCTATTTATTGAACAATCTTCCCCATAAAATGAGATTATCTGTAACTGAAAATATGTTTAAAACAATCAGAATATATAAACGCACCATGTCCGCAACATATTTTCCGAGGCTATGAGATCGGTATTTTCAGCAATATATGGAGAACTTATTGATACGTACTTTAGTTGAAAATATTATGTTGAAAGTGTTAAATGTAAAGATACATTTTTATTTAAAAACGAAAAAAAATAAAGGCATATTCGAATGTAGAAACACAACTTTAATTATTCAACCTGAGAAGTGTTTATGGTTGTACAAGAACGGTTTTTAAAACATAAGTCAAACAAAAACTATCACTGGCAAACAGAATGACGTCAAATGATACAAATAGGAAAAAAACGTTTATGAAACAATGCTAATAAAAAGTTTAAACTACACAACACTAAAGGCGTCATTGATTATAGGATAAAAAAATAGAATTAAAAATAGATTGTCGAAAATGATACACAATACTGATGACGTCATCTGTGATAAGCTCGTTTCCCACATCTTCCAATTTTAGAATATGAAGTAATGAAGTATTTCATTCAAATTTGATTGAGATCTGTAGATCTACTTATATTCTCGGCCAAAAATAATAAAAAATAAATTAGTTTGAATAACAAAAAAGAACCATTGAATAGCCGGGTTTTTATCTGAATCATTTAACAAGTAACTCGATAAGTGTGGGCATTTAATCATGTGTCGTGGACTAAGAATGTACATAATTTGGTTTTAATTTTTCAAATAGGTATTGGTAGGGGTCGTCCATAAATGACGTCACACTGTAGGGGGGAGGGGGGGTCCGTAATTTTGTGACGGTGTGTGATGAGTAGGAAGGGGGGGGGGGGGTCAGATGGTGCGACGTCACACTTTTGCATTATATAAAAGCAATGTTAGGAAACGAATTTTAGCAGTTATTTCGCGTTTTAGAAAGCTGTTTTAATAAATTGCAATAGGAATTGATTAAAATATTCTATTTTGACAGTTCAGACAAGATTTTGGAAAAATATCGATGTTTTAAGAAAAATTCAACTGCGATTGTGAGTGGGGGGGGGGGGGGTAGTAGGCGGTGGTGTGACGTCATTTTAGGGGAGGGTCTGGCTTTTTGTGACGATGTGTAGCGGAGGGGAGGGGGAGGTGAAAATCGTCCAAAAAAGCGTGACGTCATTTATGGATGACCCCTGGAGCTTATATTATATTGATGTGTCGGATTTTTAGCTATTTAGTTAGTCCTCCCTTCCCATCTCCCTCCCACCCTTCCCCGTAAAAAAAGTTCTGGAATAAACATTTTTTTTTCTTTTTGTAGATGTTAAGTTTTGTTTTTGACACCGTGAAAATACTGTTATTGTTATTTTTTCGTTACTATTATTAAAAGAATACTGGAATGCAAGTAGGCTTGTAAATTTAAATCTAGATCTAGTAGCCATATATGATATATATTACTTTACACAAATGTATATTTTGCATACAATGGGAAATAACCACTATAGTTCAAAGTTGGCTTTTATTAGGCAGAGTTATCCTCCAATTGGTAATTTTGTCTTTTGTAGATGTTTTTTTCTTTTTTAGTTTTACTAAAAATATTTTGCTTTTTTTTAAAAAAATATTGCCTGCCAGAGCTCTGGATCTCGATAAACTAATCAAAGAATTTTAATCGATCACATTATTCGACGTAAAAAAAAAAAAACAATTCACTTTTCTATACCAAAATTATATTTTAACAATAGCTTCTCCCTGTTACAGGCTACACCAGTTATCGCGAGAACTAGATCTAGGCCTTTAGATCATGTGACTTTTATCAAACCTAAACAAACTTATAGAATTTTATTTTGTATCGATATTTTTTAAAAATAATTGTGCTTGTTAACACTGTTTATTTTATTCTTCATCAATTATAAAAACTCACTCTGTAAGTATTGTTTTAATTTTTCAATTTTATTTCTCAATTATTAATTATGCTTAAAATTAAACGTTTAGTTTAGGCCAGTTTAGTTTAGGGCAGGGCCTAGTCAGTACACTACTAACACTTGAGACTTGAGTACACTCTCAGTACACAACACACTACCTACTAACTACTACTACTAGTACTACACACACACACTTACACTAACAGTAACAGCTAACTCAAACTCAACTGTGTCCAAAAAACTGTAGTCTGTACTGTAGTACTGTAGTGAGTAGTGTGTACACTTGTAGTTGTACACTGTTGACTTGTGTGAAGTGTGTGCACAACTGAACTCAGAACTGACTGTACACTGTACACTATAACACTGTACTCAGTGGCAGTGCACTGTAAAGTAAACAGTTAATGGTAATCTATCATTTTGGGTACTGTAAAATCGCCCGCGGCTATTAATGTACGAAAACGTTACCTTATTGACATTAAGTATATTGTGATATGTTTGTGTCAAATATTATAGATAAATGAATAATAAACCTAAATCAATGGCTAAATAATAAATATATCAATATATAGTATATAGGCCTATAGGCCAGAAATTAACTTTAAACAGCAGTGTTTGCGAGCAAGATTTGCTATATAAACAGCAGCCATTTGTAAAATAGAGTGTCTTCCCCCTGAATCTCGCGCTATAAGTTTATAAAAATAAAACATAAACAAGATGGCTGCTTTAGTAAATGAGCATGGTTGCATCTATTGGAAACATCGCTAGTCTTCATTTATTACTGAAAAGTTTTAATGCAATTGTTTAAAAACAGGTACATAAATGAAACAAGGAAACATATTTGTATTTTAAAAAACATAAATCCTCCTCAAAATGTCAAATAATTATTAAAATTTAAGGAGTCACCTGTTTTTTTACATTACTAGTCGCAGGTGATTTTACGTACCTAAAATGATAGATTACCCAGTTAATCAGTACTGTACAGTGTCGTTTGTGTACAGTGTACTACTAGATTCTAGGTGTGAGTGTTTTCAAATTTGTGTTGTGTACAACACTGTGTGACTGTACTGTGTACAACACTGTACATGTTTACTTTAGCCGATGTCAGATAATTAAATAATAATTATAGTAGGCCCTCTACTATATAATTATAATAGGATAGGTGTGTTGTGTTGTTAGTAGTAATTGGAGTATTGTAATCTCCACTAATTTTATAGTTAGAAATTAGGGCTTAGCCATTTAGGGTTATGGTTAGGGGCAGGGTTAGCATTGACATTAGCCAGCCATGTGTGTATTTAATTTATAATTATTAATTAACTACCAGTAACCGTGAGTAACCTAACACCCCTTTTTAAAAGAAGATTCTATTATCAGACACTCAACTGGTATAAAAATTCCCACATCTAGTACAAAGTAGCCATACACAATACACATTTATTCAAGTTTACACTTGCGACTTTAGTTTACACATGTATAGTATACACCAGTGTAAGCACAGTATAAGTTAATTGCAAATTATTTGCCAAATACATTGAATTTTTTTGGAAAATATTATTTTGGGTATTGTTAACTGACTTGTAGGCCTATATTATACAGTTACTGTCTTTGGATATGTTTATTTTAATCATATTTTTTAAAAATATATTTTCACCAAATTGCCTACAATCAGTTGCGTAACATTTTATTTTTTAAACCTAGTATACTTAGTATGGCCTAATAACTCACTGGTAGGCTATTAGATTAGGCTAGCGGCAGTAAAAACCTTTTACTAGCCTAATAGCCTACTAGTGAATTAAAGGGCTTATTGCCATATGAAGTAATCTGAAAAATTATTATTGTGAACTGGAGGTGAGCACTCATTACCCATATTTTAATAAACTTTAAACCAGGTTTAACTATTCCCTACATTGCTTGTATAGTAGCAAGATAAAGTGTTAATTGTCAGTAACAGGTTAAAATTGTTCACTTCAGATGTCATTCTTATTGATACTTTATGAATAGTTATTATATACAACCCTAAAGACTAAATATAAAAATCATATTAGTTGAGGTTTCTTAATTCCTATTTTCTTTATCTCTTCTCTCAATTATTTTTACTAGATATTAAATTTATAATCTTTGATAGATTAGAACTGTATTTAAATAAACAGTGTCAGCACTACATTTCTTGTATCATAGTTGCTGGGGTGCAGGTTTATCCACACTACCCCCTAGTTGACCAGGGTGTGCTGTATGAATACCTTAAGTGTAAATTGATCCCCCTCCATAATGATGCGGTGTGCCAGATGCCGACCCTGGTTTGATTTAGTCCTAAAATGTAATAGCCCACCATATCTCTAGTGTAAGTTTGTCTTTAGAATGAATGTAGGCACAGCAGTGCTGATGTGGGGGTCCAAGGCAGAACAGGTCGCATGACTGCCAGAGGACTTTGCTGGTCAGGTTGACACAATTATATAAGTAGTGTCCTGACCTATTTCCATGACACCCGGGTATCTAGAAGTGAATGAGTGGAAAGCACTGTCTTTCCAATACTTAAAAAAATGTATGCCAGAAATCTTTGCTAGGGTATATTCAATAAGTTTCATGGTGATAATATAAATCATGTATTAATGACTAAAGGATAAATAGCTGGGTACACTACCACAGGTGTGCAGTGTGCCACCCCCGGATTGATTTAGTCACAGATAGTTGTGGTCCACCATATACTTAACTTAATTAATGTAAGGGGCTCTTTAAAACAAATGTAGACTAAAAAGTGCATGTGGCGTAACAGCTCAATGGGGGGGGGGGGGGCTGGGCTTACTCCCGAAACATACCTAGGTTGTTGCTGTAGTGGGAGCTGCGGATATCAAATGAAGGGGAAATAAGTGACACTCTTTAATACTTTACTGTTTGATATATAATTATGTCTTGCAATTTTTTATTAAAGAATACACTTTTACTGTTATATAAAAAAGCTATTTGCTATTTATTCTACAAAGTATTTTTTGTTTCTTCTAAACATAAATATACGTTTAGTGTATATATGCTATAAATTGTAACCATGATGCAATTGATATAAAAGCACTATGCACAATCTCTACATTTAAGTTGTACACATTGTTGATACTGCAAAGCTTCATGACACCTAACCCTTTTTACAAGCTTTTATTTAACTCACTTCTTCGTCTGTCTGTCTAGATCGAAACACCAGAGCGAAATTGCAGGCACTTCTAACTTAATGATACGGTTCGTAATTGGTACCTGGGTCAAGACATGAAGACAATGCATCATGACATTCAAATTGGTTGCCTGATAAATTTTTTATGAATTAATTAAAAATTTGACCAAATTAGTAGGCAGTCCTATCCAACTACTCCACAACGTTCAATAGGCGCGCAATGGTTTTTAGTCATGCAACTCTATTGATAATAAAACATGTAAAGTACTAAAAAAAATTTCATAAAAAACATTTTAATAACATGCTTTTATGTACTAATGCACTAAAAAGTAGAAAATAAATTATAGACTACTATTTAAATAACTATAAAGAAAAGCATGGGTCTCTTCCTAAACATTAGTAAAGGTATCCAATAGATACTAAAGTGACCCACGCTTTTCTTTATAGTTATTTAAATAGTAGTCTATAATTTATTTTCTACTTTTTAGTGCATTAGTACATAAAAGCTTGTTATTGAAACATTTACTATGAAATTTTTTATCCTGATTTAGTGACACAATCTATTTAACCTTTTTTTTTAACTTGTCGTAGTTTTTTAAACTGTTATGGTTATTGTTCCAACAGCTTCTTGTTACGATCTTTAAAGATTTTTGTTTTACAATAAATGGGCTACATCACACATCTCTTTTCAATACTAGAAATTTTTTTTTTAAATTTCTTAAGAGCATCTGTTGTTTTCAAAGGCTCAATTTATTTACTTTAACAACTTTGTCCACCTTGGTTACATGTGGTTGCAACACCACATGCAGGAGCCAGGGCCCTATATATCACAATTGATTTGGGGTCACCAGAGAATGCCCCTGGAGCAGTTTGACCATTGACTAAAGTATTATATCTATTATACCTATTTGTCTTCTAAAGCATTTCAAGTCAAAATTTTATTTTTATTTATTTTTTTTTTTTTAATTTATTTTTTTTTTTTTGCTTTATTTCAATTAAACTGATTTTAATTATTTTCTTTACTAAGATGATTGGCAATGTATTCTGTTTTAAAATATCTGGTTGTCGTACACAACCTTAAAATTCAAGCTTTTAATTTAACCAGATATCAAATTACAGCAATCCATCGCATCATGTAACATTACCCAACTCTGCTTTATTCTTTAAAAATCTGTAATACTGTGAGATTAGTGTCAATTTATTTGTGCTAATCATTTTAATATTCATTGCAAAGCTCATATTAATCTTCAACATTTTAAGATTCAAATCTGACTCTGCAATTAGTGTTTCAAGTTGTTTTGTCTGGGCTGAAGTTGGGGAAGAAATCTTGTTAAATCTCTTTGGCTTAGTGCGGATAAACTCTGTCTGGGCAGGGGACCTTTGTCCCAGCGCTTTTTCAGGCTTCCAGAGCTAGTCCAGTCTCAGGTTGGATAATGCCTTTAAAAATGGCAACAATGAAGGTTGTTATTGTTCATCATGCAGAGAGCTGTCAAATCATGAACAAGCTAGCCGTCTCCAATATTTATCATGGGATTGTAGGCTTACTTGATACTCAAATGACTCAAGTGACTCATATAACATATATATATACATACACACATATAAATATATATATATATATATGTGTATATATATATATATATATATATATATATATATATATATATATATATATATATATATATATATATATATATATATATATATATAATGGTTTTTAGCGCTATTTCCGTACTGACAATTACGATTACTAATTCGTTATTTCTGGATGGATGGATGTGTGTCCGCAGCTTTAAGTCGTATCTCCTCCTCAACGAAGCAATATCGAGGACTAGTTCCAAAAGCTAATATGTTAAGCAAGTTCCGAGGATGTTTGTGGGCCAAAAAAATTCACGGAATTCCTTCCTGGATTTCCTGGAAAAGCCAAAAAACCTCGAAAAAATGCAGTTTTTGGCCCATATCCCGGCAACCAGACCACTTAGCGACTTGAAACATTTACCAATCGATTCCTGCCATAATTTAGACCAATATTGCCGAAGAAAGTTTTCAAAAATATCCTTTTGTTCGGTCACAAAAATTTTTTTTGTTATGGATAACATAAGGAAATTGCGCTTAAATTGTCACTAGACTTTTTATTAACTTGTTTTTTAAAGCAGACATTACATATTTAATGACACTGTTATGCACATTAAAATTAAGATGCCAAATATTAATCTCATGAACACATATTTGAGCCAAATCATAGTTTGTTACTTTAAAATTAGCTCCAGTAGAGGATTGCATGGTCAAGCACTAGAACATATAATTGCTAACTCAAAATTCCTGAGTTCAAACCCCTGAGCAGATGAGGCTCAGAGAGAACTCTCAAGTAGAACAACTGCTGCCTTGCAGATTATCTTTGAGTGTACAAAGGCTATGGCAGCCATTTCAAAAAGAAAAGCATGTTGAAGTTAGTGTCAGTGGATGTGTGGCGCAAAACATATTTACATGCTGAGTTGTATTTAAGAAAATCCCCTCCATTATTACCATTTAGAATGAAGAAGTTGATGATTACTTTTTTTTATAAATAGAATATAATTTTCTTGAAGGAAAGAATTTTATCTTTTTTTTTTAAGTGTTGTATTTTCTCTGAATTAGTGTTAATTTTAATAGTTATTTTTTAAATTTTGCAATTACTTGATAGTGCCTGTTGTGTCGAATTATATAAAGCACATGCAGCTGACCTGAAATTTATTTAGATTTGGTTGTGTACTTGTGATGAGGCAATGTAACATATAACTAGGTCATAGCTTGGACATTCCCAACTAGAAACAAGGTGACCAGTGGTAGCCAATCAGGTCTTAGATCAGGGGCATGTGACTAAAGATGCGGGGGGGGGGGGGGGGAGGCCAATGTAGGTTAAGGGGAAAATCGTATAACAACTAGACTCTAGTGAGAAAGGCAATTGTTAAAAATCTTTTAGTGGAATAAGTCATTTGTAGAATTACTAGTGGAATCATTCAGGGGAAAAGTCATAAATATAAAATGGTTAGTAGTTGCGCTGAAGTTAGTTCTGAACTACGTGTAGTTTGTGTCGTATGAAGATTTGTGTTATAGATTAATAAACAGTACTGTTATATATCTTTGAGACTTCAGTAGTGTGTATATATCTAACACACAGTCTCCCATGGTTCTTATTTTAAGAAGTGTATTACATACAATACCACAGTACTGAAATTGATTTATTTTTATTTTCCATTTTCCTCCATTGCTACTTACCTATATTTGATATGTAAATAAATGCTATGTGAACTAAACATTATTCCATTCTCTTGGAAACACTGATAATAAAACCTGTATAACTATAATAAAATATTTATAAAACTAGACCCTATGAACATTGTTATATTAATTAGGATAGTGTACCAACATAAGAGTGTGTGAACTATGTTTATAGGGGAGCCGGGCGTTTTCCTGAAAGACACTTGCCCAAATGCCATTTGCCCGAAGGCTGAATAAAGTGTGCATTCGGGCATTTGTCACATTCAGGCAAGTGTCCTTTCGGGAAATCGGCGTTCGGACAAGTGTCTTTCTGGAATTTGAGGTAGACCTGTTTATAGAAATATGAATGTCTTGTATATTCACTACATACGCCCATTGGCCCCCACTAGTTCTTTTTATCACAAGATAAAGCTCATGTATACACACACATACATAGTATATAATAATAATTACATTTTACAATTTTTCAACACACCTAGGTATAATCCTATACTTTTACATCAAATTTTTTAATTACATTTTTAGCATAGATTTCAGATGAAAACCTGATGTGGTAAACAGTGACAATGTTAATTATACTATTTATTTGGTTTTCCAGAGAAATAAAATGGCAGCTACCCAGGGTGTGGATAGAATTCCAGATGCTTTAGGCTATCTTGTTTTGAATGAAGAAGGAGCTGTTCTCAATGTAAGTTCAAGGTTGATGTTAGAATATTTATTATTGGACTCCTTTTGAAACATTAGAAATGTAAGTTTATTGGTTTGATATTCGTGGATTTAGTAAGATCTATTTTTAATTTATAGTGAAATGTAATTGTAAGCTTATATTTCATTGCTTTTATTATATTATTTTTATATGTGGGTGAAATTTTTAAAATATTAATTGAAATTTACTTGAGGATTGATTTAATAATAGTTACTTTTTTTAGGTGAGTTTAGTTTTTAAATATGTTTGTGTAATTTTAAGAAATATGACAATCCCTATTTTTGTATTATTTTTATTGCATATACATGCTGTAAAATTTGTGTTCAAATTGCTTCAGAATATTAATATCCTCTGTAGCAGCAAAACATTTAATATAATAGTTTCAGAACTTGTTTGTATTAATATTGTTTTTAAAATAAGTTAGCAACTATACACCATAAAGCTTACCTTGAACAAAATGTTGGTGGAGAAAAAACACTAAACAACCATTCTTGCTACATCTTTTGATATTTTGTTGTTCACTTTAGTCCGGTGGTCATCTGGAAAATGATGAGGTAACAGCCAACAAAATCACAAAGCTGGTCCACACGGCTTACAAAATCCCAGTCACCAGCGATAAAAAAGATGTCTTGCGGAGAATTTCAGGTATCTTATATTTCTTTTTTTTTTTCAAACTTCAGGGTACTGCTTGATTATATTTTTCTAAATAAATTATTAAATTAAAACGTTAAATTATATTATACTAAAGAATATTTTTAATAACAGTAGTCACCATGTAATTTAAGTAGTGCTTATAAAAGGACCTTCTATAAAATAACATATTTTAATTTATGCTGTCAGCCAATTAGAAAAAAGAAAAAAGCTGCCAGAGGCATTAATTAGCTAATTAAAACTTTGATACAAATTTAAAATATCTGTGTTTTTTTGTTACCACCAAACACATTGAGAATACAATTAATTATATTCGTCATGCACAAGGTTAAAGAACACCCAGGTTTTCTTAATTAATAATTAGCATGAGTGGTGCTATCTGAGGGGTATCTGTAACCAAGAACTGTGGGAGGCTGTCACATCATCAGGCCTTTTCACAGTCGGCTGGTTTTAGATTTATTTGCAGTGATACTATCTGTTTTAAGCCCAGCCTCCCGGAGGTGGCATCAAACATCAGCGCAGCCATTTGGAGGCAACATTAGAGTGCACAATTGTGTTCACTGGTACAATGAACACTGGCACCTAGTGTTAGGGTCTCACCTGTCTTCTGCCTTTTTAACATCCATTGTTTGATTCTGGTGCCTTCAATTGCCTGCACAATAGGGCTCTTTATCCCCTGAATTTTGTTCAATAAAATTAACTCTCCCTGAGGATGCCCATTCAGCAAGGCTTTTCTATTTTAGAGTGACTTCCCTTGGAGATATTGATCACATAAAAAAAAAAGTTGCTAAATGTTCTTTTCTGAAGAACTAGATTGTGAAATTGGGCACATCATGGATAAATATATTCAAATATGTAAATAAGCCCAGTATGTTGTCTAATTGTAATTTGCCTACAAATGTAATTACTTAAATAACATTTCCTGTTTTGAAATTAGAAGGTTTTGACATTATTGCTCCAGTGTTAACTGTTTTTATCAGTTGTAATTAATAAACTCCTGGTGTTCTTTTTACTTAATTTGCCTTGTTTTATCAAAACACATTAACTTGAGTAGAGCAGTAATTTTATTAACTTCAGTCTCAAAGCTCTGTTTGGCTTGTTAAACAAGGCAACAGAAACAAAAGAAGTTTGATGTTTATCTGCTCGTTCTGCTGTTCATGTTTTGTTTGTTAGGGAATTGCTGGTTGGTTGAATTCATTAGGAGAAATCTGTTAAAATTTAAACTGTCCAATGGTTGTTTCAGTAGTGCTTAGATGTGGTTTGTCATTTATTGGTTTATTGTAAAAGATAATATGGGGAATGGATTGAACTTTACTGTAAAATCTTGTTATAGAAGGTTTTAAAAAAATCTTCTTAATATATATATATGTTAAACAAAAAAGGTACATTTAAAATTTTTTTTATTAGCTTATTTTTGGTTGAAAAAATATCTTGAATAGGGAACAGCTACTTCTTGGCGTTAACATTCTTTATAGTATTCTTAGATCCTTATTTATTAATTCCCATAAAACTATTCATTCAGCAACTATAAAATAAAACCTATAATTAATAGAGTAGAGAAAATGTTATGTTAAAAAAACCTATTGGCATGATGCTGTATAGTACCTAACTGGAAAAACAAATCAGAAACTAATTTTAAAATAAAATTTGATTGATTTTTTAAAAACAAGTAGCAGCTTTTCATCAGCCTGTGTGACTTTAATGTCTTTTCTTCTCCAGTGATCCTAGATGATGTGGTGTTCATGGTCACAGTGTCACAGCACAAAATTTTTGTCTGTAAAAAGCACTACAACCCCCAGGAGGCTGTGACAGCGTGAACCCGGATGAATTCACAGCATGCATGGATGGGTAGGAGTTTTGAGCAGTCGGGTCTAGCCATGTGCATCAACCAATTTTTGTACCCTACTGGTAAATTGGTGGTTATCTTCTGTTGCGCCCCAGTTTATGGGATGCTCCCTGTGTTTTGAACATCTGCCTTTTAGGTGACTTTCTATGGTGGAAATGTTGCCCCTTATTGTTATGTTAATTGACTTGAATTCACAAGCGAGCCGCCTGGTGTATTAAAATGGACTGATGCGGTTGTGTAATTAATTTTTTAAAAATATTTTTTAATTAAATTAAATTGGTGGGAATTAAAGCTAGGAACAATAAATTTTATAGATCTTTCTCACTCAAGATTTGTACAGTTACTGTGAATTTAGTATTTTCCTTTAAAAAATTGAGTTATCAAATTCTCTATGCATAATTGTATATTGACTATGCTTAAAATTACTGTAAGCAGTATTGTTTTGTGAATGATTATGAATGACGAATGAGATTTTTTTGTGTAATACATTTTTGTGAATATTTTGTGAAATATTTTAAGAATAAAACTTAAGTTAAAAAAAATGTTGTAATGTTGTTTCCATCTTCTGTATTTAGAATTATTATGTTCTGTTTTTAAATTTTTTGCTGTTCAATGGTGAAAAATCTCGAGACATGACTGTTCCCCCCAATGTCGTAGCCAGGAAGTGGTCATGGGAGGGGTTCTAACATGTTTCCTTATGTATAAAATCATATATATATATATGATTTTATAAATATATATATATATATATAGTAGGGGTCCATGGGAGGGGTTATAACCTCCCTTGTCTACACCACTGGTTCCACCCTAAGCAAGATGAGTGGGTTCAATTCTCAACTGCAGTAAAAAAATGCATGAAAATTACGTCCTAGTACCGTTTTCTCTGTTATTGACAACAAAATTAAGGTAGCTATCATATAAAGTTCCTCTTCAGATCTAGTGATCCGCTATGAAGGGAAGCTGTGGTCAGCACTATGCCCAGCCACCTTTCCCCCAGGTACCCATAGCTGGGTGGACTAGTGAATGTTCTACAGTGTCAAGTCCAAGCTCGAGACCTTCGGGCTAGCAGCCAAACGTAGCCATATAACATATGTATGTGGGCTAACAACCTAGACCTGTAAAACAGTTTGTTACAAAAATTAGAGGAAGACTCTGTCTTTAAGTTGTCACACACACACACACACCAGAATGGGTGATGATGATCATAAGTGACAGGCAGTGGTGTAAGCAGGGGGGGTTAGGGGGGTCATAACCCCCCATAGACCCCTCGGTATATATATGAAGTTTGAGGGGGGTGCAAATCAAGTTTGAGGAGGGGGGGGGGGCAAATCAAAAGTTTGAGGGGGGGTGGAAATCGAAAGTTTGTCCCCGGGTTATATACTGCTGGAAAAAAATTGAACACCCCCCCCCCCCCCCCATGAGACGATCCTGGCTACGCTACTGGTGACAGGTGCATTCCCAGCAGCCTATTCATTCTTCCGACTCGACCAGATACACTCCATCTTACATGAGTTACCAGAGATCCTACCTTCACCTGAGCAAAAATGGTAAGGTCTGACCAGTTACGTTTGGGTAATCAGACATACACGTTTTGGATTTTTAAGTGACGATATTTTCCCTTACCATAATTCTCTCTCATTTCCATTCTGTAAGTAATCCCATCTTATTGGTCATTTCCCCCCCCCCCTCCCCCACTTGTCATTTCCCATAAGTCATCCTGTATATTATCTCCTTTGTACGTGATGTTACCCGACCCCTCAGCGTTAATCACTACACCCTTCCCATCACAGATAGTACCTTAAACTACAAGTTTAAATGTGTTGAACGATGTAATGTGAAAGGGTGAAATTTTGCTGCGAATTAGGTGCTACTTCTCACACCCCTGTTGTTTTGTTGAAGGAGGGTGGGTCATTATTTACGTGAGCAAATTAACAGCAGATAATTGTTTGGAAGAGAGGGGGGGGGGTAATATCCGCTACTGCTTGGGGAGGGTGAGATAAGCTGCTGACCACAATATCGTCTGGTAAGCGGGGTCACATGGTCGACACAGGCACTACGGACACGAGTTTCTTTCCAGGCTTCTCTTCGGGGGGGTAAGCCCCCCCCCCCCCCCCGAAAAAATTTTACCGCCCCCCCCCCCCCGAACGAAATAAAATTTATATAATTTATATAGAAAATATATACTTTTAACAGTGTCCGCCCCCCCCCGAAGAAAGTTTACCGCCCCCCCCCCCCCCCCCCCGAAGATTTCAAGTGCCCCCCCGGAGAAAAAATTCTGGGAAGAAACACTACGGAGGAAGTAAGTTAGATAATCGCTAGTAAAAACATTACAATCCATGAAACAGAACTATTCATACATTGTAAGTTGCCATTTAGATCTACTCTTTATTTTTTTTTTTTTTTTTTTTTTTTGTTTTTTTTTTTTTTTGATTTACTCTTTGAAACAGTTACAAAGAACAATAAACAACAAGAGTAATTGAATAATGGACGTGTCTGAACTTGAATGAGGTAAACGTTTGGGGAAACGTTAGGTTCTAGTGTCTACTTGTATGTAACATATTAATTATTCTAGTTTTAAAATATAGAACATTTCAGTGTGGGTTAATTGTGCTATTTTTGAAAACCACTTTCGAATTCTTTTTTTCTCTTCAACTCTTGTCGTCCCTCCTGGGACATAGGCCGCTGGACAAGAGCTTTCCAATTATTATGTGTTATTTCCCTTACTTCATTTTCAAGTTCCAAAACTTATGAAATCTCATTTAAAGTATATTCACTATAGGTTATTTTGGTTATTTCTAAAATTAAACGTGACGTTTAGTCTAATATTATTTTATTTGTAACGAACAATTTACACCGATAAATTATTATCTAAACAATTTTTTTTTTTAAAGATTTATCAATTCTATAGGGAATTTGTGTCAACCATATTCCGGATGGCTTCACACTGTATATATATATATATAATATATAATATATATATATTAGCGCCTATACTTGATAAAAGGGATTTCTAATTTCGATACATCTGCTTATCAATTTAGTTCTAATGCAAAGTATAAATGATTCGGTGAAGACGCAGTCAGGTGGTATAGCTTTCGACTTCTAACCGAAAGCAGAGGCGTAGCGACCCTTCCGGCGCCCGGGGACAAACTTTTCGATTTGCACCCCCCCTCAAGATTTCGAATTGCATCCCCCCCTCAAGATTTCGAATTGCACCCCCCCCCCCCCTCAAATTTCGATTTGCACCCCCCCCCTCAAGATTTCGATTTGCACCCTTCCCCCCCCCCCCCCCCCAAGATTTCGATTTGCACCCTCCCACCCACCCTCAACCTTTCAATTTATTTTTCCAACCCATTTTGGCGCCCCCTAAGGCCGGCGCCCGGGGACATATGTCCCCCCCCTCCCCCCCCCCCCCCCCCCTCGCTACGCTACTGACCGAAAGTCTCAAGTTCGGATCCCGGGCTCGAGTCTGTAGGACGTTCCTGAATCCACCCAGCTCTGATGGGTACCTGACATGATAAGGAAAATAAAGGCGGATAGGAATAGTGTTGATCCCCTGTTTGCCGAGGTCTGTGAAACAGATGAACTCTACTTCATCTGCCCAATGTGTCTTGGACACAAACGGGAAAATATGATGACGAGTGCTGAGACGGAATTCGGCAAAGACAACTAATTATAATCTTCTGACAGCTTACACGAATGATAGAGCAATGTTTAAACTATGGCAGACTCATCTTACACAGGCTGTTAAACAGTGTTTCTTCCAGACTTTTTTCTCCGGGGGGGGGCACTTGAGATTTTCGGGGGGGGGGGGGGGGGGGGGGCGGTAGACTTTCTTCGGGGGGGGGCGGACACTGTTAAAAGTATATATTTTCTATATAAATTATATAAATTTCATTTCGTTCGGGGGGCGGAAAAAAAAATTCGGGGGGATTTGCCTCCCCCCCCCCCCCGAAGAGATGCCTAGAAGAAACTCTGCTGTTAAACATCACACAAGCATATATTGGGCAACTGTGATAACGATTTTAAAAATGTGCGATAGCTTAACTTCTGAATGCTTTGAAAAGTCAATAACATTTTTTAAAAGTCTAACTTTTTAAAGATTTAATAACGGTATATCATGTACTTAAAATTTTACCAACTGGACTACGGTTCAAAAAGAGTGCAAAATTTTGTTCCGTCTCTTTTCTTTTTCAGGATTATTCTACGTAACGTTACGTTTGCCTGTCGTCCCTACTGGGACATAGGCCGCTGACAAGAGCTTTCCAGACGTCTCTGTCCTGGGCTAGTCCTCTCCAACTGTCCCCAGGTGTATCCAATCTTCTTGGTGTTTTCTTCCAGGTCACGTCTCCAGGTCTTTCTTGGTCTGCCTCTCCTCCTCCTGCCTTGTGGATTCCAGGTGAGGGCCTGTCTTTTTATGCTGGATACAGGTTTCCTGAGTGTGTGGCCAATCCATTTCTGGAGGATCTCTACTTCAACTGGCAGTTGATTTGTCCATGCCATAGAACATCATTTCTAATGGTTTTAGGCCAGCGAATTCGCAGGATCTTTCTGAGGCATGCGTTTATAAATGATTGTATTTTCTTCTTATTTATAGCAGTTATTCTCCATGTCTCAGCTGGATTATTTTAAGCACACGTATATTTTTTAGCTCAGTCTCGACGACTTGATCTATGCTTGTGACACTCATCACTTATATACCACATTAAAGAACATATTTTTAAAAGTAGGACCTATCGTAAAATATGTCAGTAAATAATTGACTAACAGCTGCTCAAAGTAACCGAATAATTATCAATGAAAGAAAGGGAGTTAACATAGTATGTGTTTTTAG